ACTTTGACACCAGAGACACCAATGCCTCTATATCCAAGATTTTCATGGCCTTGGGCCTTTGCCCAGAAAAACAAGCACAGGAACTGTGGCGAAAGAGCAGCAGCCAAAGCTGGAACCACCAGAGCATTAGGTACTAGTGTCCAGAGAAGCCTTGTAGTGCATCCTGCGGTAAACAGGCTTTTCACAGGATGGGTTATGTGGGTAAAAATGAATCAGGATCTTCAGGGATAAGACTAGGAAATATGCTTATTAAAGCAGACCACCTTAAATAAGTCTTGGATAAGTTATAAAATTAACCACCAGATATAACACTGCCTTAGAAGGAAAATGACTTCTCTTCCCAACAAATTCCAAACAGCATTTGGAATACCTATCACATACAGAGACTATAAACCTAGGTTAGGCATTTCTCTTTTACAAATATCCACAGACATGGTTAATTTTATCTTCAATAAACACTGAAAAGCAGAAATGATAAACACTGCTGCAGAATACATATCACTACCTCATTCTGCCAAAATGCTTAATAAATCTCAAATTCATTCACAAAAGACTAAGGTGGAGAATGACATCTAGAATTCCCAGGTTTCAATGATCCAATAAATTACCTAATTTCCCACAAGGCTTTAGGATTTAGGTTAATTTATACTGACACTACAGAGCTGAGTTACAAAGTCTACTCAAGAATGGCAATCTGGTACCTGACTAGCAAGTGTGATGCCCTGAGTTCAAACTCCAGTACTGCCGCCCCCCCCCAAAAAAAATAAAATGGCAATCTAACTGTGGGAGGCCATCTCTAAAGAGGGCCTGCTACCCCTCTGAGTGGAGACAGGACCTACTGATTCTTCTCTAACAAGGTGAGGGAGTGAAAGGATATCAGAGCCTCCTTGGATGCTTCCAAAATATACATGGGCCTCCTCCACATTCTCACTTAACCCCTATGATTCCAAACTTAACAGCAACGAACAATGCCGTTAAGTTCCACTTGCAGAAGTGTTTATTACTCAGTTGTTGGGGGAGAAATAGATAAGTGCCATTCACCTGTATGTTGAAGACACCCAAACCTCCCTCTTGACAATTCTTCCCAGATATCCCACAGGTATTCAACTCAAGTTTCTCTAAAACGACCCTCAAAAGGTGTACCTTTCCATATTCTCTATTAGCAGTTACCTACTTGTCTAAGTTAAAATCCAAACATAATCTTAAAGTTGCCCCTGTTTCTTCAACCCCACTATTCACATTCTCACTCTACCCTAATAAAAACATCAACTACTTTGATCTGAGTCTAATCTCCTGCAGCTTGAACTAGTGCACAAACTTCTTAACTGTCTTCCTGTCAATGGCCGTGCCCTCTACATCCCATCTTTCATGCTAGGATGACTCTACAACAAAGGACTGCATCCCTTCCCTTCTCAACAATTCTGTTTCCTACTCATAGAACAAAATGGGGCTGGGGGAGTGGCTCAAGCAATAGAATGCCTGCCTAGCAGCATGAGACCCTGAGTTCAAACCCCAGTGCTGCTAAAAAAAAAAAAAAGAACAAAATGGCATGGAATGCATGGCCAGTAGAGGCGGCACAGAGGAAAAAGATCAATACTGTGGCCATAATCTCAACTCTAGAAGAGCATCATGTAGATCAGAGCACTTAGTGACAGAAAATCAGAGACCTTTGCAACACAAAGCTGGAAAACACCTTTGCAAAACAGCTTGAACACAGCCAGGCTTACCTAGTCAGGGACCCGTAGGAATTCAGACCAAAGTGGCCTGACCAGATTCCACTCCTACCAAAGAGCACGTCAGAGTGTCTACAAAAAGTCAGGGACAGGCTGGTGGAGTGGCTCAAGTGGTAAGAGCACCTGCCCAGCAAGTGTGAAGTCCTGAGTTCAAACCCCAGTACTAACCAAAAAAAAAAAGTTAGGGACTCTGTTGAATCGAATGGACAATAAAATCCCCACTTCCAGGGAAGTTATGCAGTCTCTTCCATAATACCGCCCTGTGATCTACAGGCATGTCAATTTCTTTCTTAATCACAGATAGCTTAAACAAAGCTGGGTGAGCCGAACAGTTCTCCCCACCAAGAACTTTAGGGATCTCAAGCACCTGGAGAGTAGGCTGGGCAATGGGGCAGCAGAGACCTTTCCCAATCTAGTCCATCTGCCACCCTACACCCTAAGCAGTAGCCAGGAACTACAGGAATCCCATTTCCTGAAAGCTTTGCTCACTCAAAATTCTAACCAGACTCCCATCCTTTACTCAGTTCAGATAAATCCTGGCGGTGGCCCACACCAGCTCCTCTGGAAATCCTTGACCAGCCCTCTGCACCACAGGCTTTCAAAGGGCCTGCTGCAGCTCTTTTATGAGGCTCATCCCCACTGGCGACTGTGTTTTAGTCATCTCAAATCTGTCTTCCATGCCTCAATGTCCAGCTTCTCTCAGGTACTCCATTCACATTTATTGACTAAATTTATAAGTCAGCTCATCTTTCCCTTTGACATGACAGTAGGAAAAACGACCACTGGAAGTTATATTGGAAATGGCTTCCTATTAAATAGAAATCTGTTCTCAATCCAGCCAGCTCAGAACTTTGAAGAGAAATTGTATTCATCTCTTTGCAATCATGTACAAAAGCAGACACAGAATGAGAATTCATGCCACCCACCTGTACTGGGTGGACTATGGCAATGTGTCCATGGACTCTGCATGGGGTGGCCGAAGCAGGGTGCCTGCCACCCAGTATCTCTCAGCTCACTAGTAGACCTCTTGCATGCATAAGGCCCTAAATTCACCCCAGCAGCACAAACAAAAGAAATACCAAGAAAGTAGAAAGCTTCTTATCTAAGAGCAAAAAATCCTTCTCCATAATCTTTCAAAATTAAATGCCTGGTAAAATAACATCCACCAAAGATCTCCAACTCTCAAGGACTTACGTGAGAAAGTAAAAAATTGTTATAGAATAAAGGGTTAATTTATAAGACTTCCAAAATACCAAAGAAATAAAATAAAAAGGAAACCTTTTTGATTATCTTAGTTAGTATCAAATCCACTGAGTGACAGGAAAGATGGTAAAATATAATTCACATCTATCAAACTAGCAGATGTATTAGGATTAAGAAGGACTTCTGTCAGGTTTGGTTTGGTTTTTGAGACCGGTTACATTAGGTAACTCAGACTGGTTATTGTCCTGGTTATTCCAAAAGTTGGGATAATAGGTATGCACCACATGTACCACCATACTTTGCTCGATAAGGACCTCTTAACGGATTTGAACCATTTAACTTAGGCCCAATAAAAGCACACAACATATATTTCAGTACTAAGAAAATTCTGCCTCAGTGTGTAATTCAGTCTAACATATAAAGTACTGTCATTAGCAGAAATACCACCTTGAAAGAAGTACTTTTTTGTTGTTTTTGTTTGCCTAAACAAAAAAACAATTACATTTAAAAAAATGTTTAAATATTCATACCTCTTCAAACTTTACCTTAGAAGACCTAAGGATACATTCAGGTGTCAACAATTCACTTCTTCTCAAGCATCATTATCTGAGCATATATATTTAATTAATTCTCATAAAGAAAAAGTCACACAGCAATCTTAAGAAATGAAGCAAGCCCTCATAGTGGCTCACACCTGTACTCCCAGATACTCAGGAGCTGGAGATTGGGAGGATTGAGGTTTGAAGCCGGCCCAGCAAAAAAGTTACTGAGACCCCATTTCAATCAATAAGATAAGCATGGTGATGCCTCTGTCATTCCAGCATAGCAAGAGGCCTGAGATAGGAGTATCTCCATTGGAGGCCAGCCCTAGGCAAAAACGCAAGACCCTAACTGAAAAATAACTGGAGTAAAAAAAGGCTGGGGACTTGGTTCAAGTAATAGAGCACTTGCCTAGCAACCATAAGGCCCTGAGTTCAAACTCTACCACCGCCAAAAAAAAAAAAAAAGTGTGGATGAGACTTCTTCCCTTGTAATTTATTAGAATAATTACATCCAAAAGATCACCCCAATAAAAATTCCATGTCAAAATTCTGCAGGTGCTTTCACTCTCTAACAGCATCACATTTTTAGCTAACTCGGGAGAATGGCACTGGCTCAAAGGACTACTAGTGTGTAACAAGAATGGCAAGAGACCCACACTGCTACCCAGAACCCTAACATTACATACACAACGCCCAGGAAAACTCAGAAAACTCTTGGAAATAGAATTATTTGAATATTTATATGAATTCATATGAATGTTTTCACTCCTTTCAAAACCGCCACATTGACTCCTGGTACTGGGAATGAAGAATAGGCAGTTAATTAAAAAAAAGCCAATTCAAGTAGATTTTACACAAAACTGTATTTTGGAGCAAAGGCCTGAAAGTGCTAAAAAGAGGGTCAAAATTTTAAACTACAAATTGCCTTACATAATTAACTTTAATCACTATTTTACGAGAAGTCATCCTAGCAGGTAGTAGAGACCACCTACCCTAGAAAGACAGACCCTAGCAGACTAAATAATGGAGCGCTGTCTTTACAAGGCAATTCAACCCCTATAAATTCCTCAAGTCTGGCACAAATGTTCACTGACCCCATTCTAAAAACGTGACCTAGAAGACTAGAATACGTAGACTCTTGACCTCAATCACATTCCGAGATGCTGTTTCTCCAACACATTTTTACAACCAATAATATATGATGTTTGAATAAAATTATGATTAAACCCTAAGCTTAAAGATCAATCAAAATCAAAAGATTTATCAAATGGGTAAAGTCGACATGATGATTTAAGAAAGCGACCAGAGCGCACCGCAGGCCATCATCATACCTAATTTCACTATGTTCACTAATGCAATCTTTGAAGTAATTTAAACAAAACTCACACAGCAAAGCCATGCCCCACAGCATTTTGTTTGACACGTCTGAGTAACAATTCAAATAAAACGCTTTCTGCGGGGAGCCCCGTCTGCTCGGCTTCCAAATCCCCAGAAGTAACATTCCTGACACCTCCGTGCTTACCTATGCCTGGAGCCACATAGATGAAGTAGAGACAGGACGAGGAGAGGGAGAAAATGAAGATGAAGACGAGGAGAAAGCGATTGGAAACCCGCATCATCCGCCTGAGCACCGACATCTTCCTCTTCCCAGCCGGCAGCTCGGGCTGCGATCTCAGGCCGGACTCGGGGCCACTGTCCAGGCCCTAAACTTCCATGGATGCGCTAAGAACCCCGAGAACGCAGCGAGGTCCGGGGGGAGGTGGGGGGAGGGAGGCTGTGGGGAGGAGGCTGGGACAGGAAAGGCTTGGAGAGAGGTGGGAGCGGGATGAATGAATGAACGGAGGCCGGGAGGAGAAGCGTGAAAGGATCACCAGGAAGGAAGGCGAGGGGAACGGGGGCAGTGCCGGGAGGACCGGGAGGCCGCGGACGCGCGTCCTCTTCGCCAGGCAGCGGCGGGAGGAGGGGCTGCAGGTGCGGAGCGGCGCTGGCTGCGCGCCGCGGCGCCCTGCGCACTCGGGCAGCAACTGCAGCACGCCGGGGCTGCCCGCGTTCGGCGGGGTCCAGAGGGAAGTCCCGCGCTCGGGGTCCGGCCAGCCCGCGTCCCCTCGGCAGGCCTGCACCGTCTCCTCCTCCGGGCCGCGGCGTCTAGTGCCTGCGCGGGGCTAGCGTGGGCGCCGGGGCCGCAGCCGGCGCACGCGACGCGCGGGGGCCCGCGGGGGCCCTGGGGGCCGAGGAGCTGGGCGCTCGCCGGCGCGCAGCCTCCACCTCATGCCGTGCCGGGCCCCGGAGCTCTGCAGCCGCCGCGGGAGCCAAGCGCAGGCCAGGGCGGCGTCCCGGCCAGCGGCGAGCGTGCTCCGGCTCCGGCTTCTGCCGCTGCCGCCCGCTGTCCGCCCGGCTGCAAGGGCGGCAACCGCATTACCGCCGCGGGCCCGCCCGGGGTAAGGCGCCCCCGCCGGCGCCGCCCCCGCACGGCCCCAGACACCAAGCCGAGAGCGGCCAGGCGACGCGCGCTGCGGGCAGGGCCAGAGAGTGCAGAGAGAAACAGAAAAGAGAGAGAAAGAGAGGGAGGCCGGACGCCGTCGGACCGCGTCTGCACCGGAGAAGGGGCGGACTTGGGAGCCTCGAGGAAAACCCGGACTGGCGGGCACGCCCGGAGACCCCGCAGGCTCCGCCCGTTCGCGCGCGACTCCGCAGGCGGCGCTGCGTGCGCCGGGACCCGAGGAAACCTGGAGGCCCCCCGCCCTCCCGGGTCTCCAGACCGCGCGTCCTGATTGGCCCGCACCGCACCGCTCCACACCGAGCAACCCCCCTCCCCCGCCCTCTCGGACTTGGGCCTCAGCCGCCTCCTGCGTCATCGCCACCCCAGCCCCGGGACCCCGCATTCACTGCGCGGCTGAGGAACGCGTGCCCAGCCTGGGATGAGCGCTTGCCCTAGTGATCAATCATGAAGGATGATGTACCTGCCTGGAAAGGGTATCTCGAGGAGGGACTTTGATGTAATTTCCTCCCAAAATGCTGGGCAAAAGAGGCGTATTCCCACCAGGATTTGGGACATACACCTGCCCTTCCTGTACAATCATCTTGAACGGATGCAATATGGGTCTGTGTATATATCTCACCTGCCTTCGTCTCCGAAGGTGAACATGGGGTGGTCCCCCTACTGTAGCTCCTTGCAGCCAAAAGGCCCTTGAGAGCTGCAACCCCAATCCAGCTGCAGTAGGCAAGCTGTACGGCCCTTTAATGGACCTGTTGACCGGGGGCTGCCCTTTATTCAAGTGCTTTTCCCTGCTAGCTACACTAGTCTAGGTCCTTAGCTATGTCACACTTTTTCAACAAGTGTGGACGGTTTCTTTGTCAGCTAATGGAGCAAGTGGCTAGATGTGCTACCACCATTATTTCTTGAATTGTCATTGAATTGCAGACAAAACCTGGGAGCTGTTACCTGTGCCTTACGTCATATCTGAGGTAGTGCTATGCAATGTGGAGCCTCAAACACCTAACTTTATAAACTCATGCATAAAATGCTACTGTAATCTGGCACATAAGAGGTTCTCTTACATCCCTTTACTTCGCCGAGTGGAATCGCTAAGTTTAAATTAGTTTTTGATTATTTTGCTTTTTGGAGTAGTTAAAAGTTATTTAAGTTCCCTGGCTAATTTGATATTTATTGTGAAAGGTAATGACACTATTTTGTAACATTTTTAGAAACTTAAGGGGAACTTAAAATACAATGTGGAACAACATATTAAATAAAACACACTGAGAAAAAGAAAAAACACAAGCAAAAAAAAAAAAAAACCCACAAATCCATGAATGACAAGAAAGCAAAAGTTGTGTTATTGCCCTCTCCCCAGCTCCCTTAGCTTTTCATTTCTTACTGATTGTTTATGAACTTAATACAAAACCGGGCATGGGATGAGTTTTTTTTTTTTTTAAAGGAAAGCTTACTATGTTGTGGAGGGAAGTAGTGACATCATAAAATTAGGGTTAATCTTATTTTAAGAAGTCTGAAGTCTGTACTGATGCACCTGGCTGCCCAGATGACTGCCGTTGGTATCGCTCCTATTTTAACCTCATCTCCTTTGGTTTGTCTTGCTCACCCAGTGCACCACCACAATGCTTGTTAAGACTGATTAGTTCTCCCCTGGAGAAAACAACTTCATTTCTGGTACCGGAAAACAAGCTCAGTCTGTACAGGCACTGTGAGGATTGCATCCAATGAGTTAATGTCTCTGAAGAGCCTGAGAACCTGCTGTATGGTAAGCCATACTGGAATAGTTGTGAAATTTATTCTTGAGAATCTGCCCTTTTGATCATTCTCTGTTGGCAGAAACAAGTGATGCATGTCTCTTTCTGTTTAAACACCAAATTCCTTGTGAATCAACCAATAAGTCTCTATCTCCAATAATCTTAGGGGATACCTTAGGATCTGAGCTCTTTAGCGGGGAAGGGGTGGTAGACATCAAACCCAGGGCCTTCTAGGTAAACACTGTGCCACTGAGCTCAGCTCAGAGCACAAGAAATACTAACTGAACCCTCTCAAGCCCCCATTATCAACTGATCCTTTCTTAGGAGCCAAGTTAGCCCCATATCAGAGATGTGACTGCAGAAATACACGACACTGAAAAGAACTTACACCTGTAATAGTAATGCATAACTTACAATGGTATGACAGAACTAAATTTATTTAATGGGCTGTTCTTAACTTATTACTACCATGCATTTCTTTTATGACCTTTTGTTTACTAGAGACCCCATACTCTTAAGTATTTGGATATCCAAGTGAATAAATAAAGTCACAATTAACCATTTTCTCTTTGCATTAATAAAACGTATATTACAGAAATTGAAATTAAAACAAAAAAGAAAAGCATGCTTATTTAGTGAGATAGGTGACATTTTATTTGGTTTATGCTGAATGAAGATCAGTAATTCCATCAAGTATTTTTGATTTGCTGATAACCTTAGTAAGTAATAAATATTTTTATGTGTGCAAGGAGAAAAGGGAATGAAGACAGCATTTGGAATTCAGGGGCATGACTCAATCTCACTTTTAGAGTTGCTAAAGTTTCAAAACTCCTTACTATAAGAACTAGTTATATATATTAATTATGCCTATTTCAGTACATAGTCTAAGCAGCTGAGATTCAGCTAAAAAATGCTAAGTTGATGAGTAATGTTTATGTGATTGAATTTTTTATTTATAAAATTGAATGTATATTCTATAAAAGTTAATCATTGTCATGACTTATAAAATTGACTGTATTTTCTTCACTATGTTATAGTATAGAAACTTCTCTTAAATAAAAATTTCCATTACAAATGGAGTCAGAATTCTTCTGAGAAAAAAAATTGCCCCCTTAATATTTAAGATAGATAGATTAGATGGATAGATAGATGATAGAAAGATATAGATAGATAGATAGATAGATAGATGATAGATAGAGGGTGCTGGGGATTGAACCCATGGCCTTGCCCATACTAGGGCACATAACCAATATTTAGGTTACATTAGAGAAGTTTTAAGATAAATAAGTCTTACATTTAAGAACAAACATGTCACTATAAAGCCATACTTTAGTGATACTATATAGTATCTATGAAATAATACAGAATTTTATGATAATACTGTATTGTAGTTAAAAATTTAAAAAGAAACCATTGTCACAGTTGAGCATTTGACCCACATTTCACACTAACTTCAAAGTACCTTAACTCTTTCACCTTAAACTCGAGACCTTTCTTTTACTAGATAAGAATGCCCTGTAGGGTTTTCAAGTATCCAAATGACTTTCATATCATTTTCACAATAGCCATTTGGAGCAGGAATTATTATGTCCTTTGGGGATAAGGAAAAAGAACTTGTCCAAGCTCACATGGTAATAAGACAGCCAAGCTGGGAACAGAGCCAAGATGTTGTCAGCCTGCCTCCACACCCTTTGCACTAACCACACCACCTCCAGTCTTCACAATGGTCACTTTGCTTATCATTTATTGTTTAGTGTGGGTTTTTTTCATTTTTCTAGAAACAAATATAAGCAATTTTTCTTTCATGGTTTTTAAAAAACCAATTTTGCCTTAGGCATCCATGTCAGGAGACTATATAGATGATACCACATGAAACCTGTCCTGGAAAGAAAAAATGTTTCATGAAGTTAAGGCCCTTCTGTCTAGTCCTTGCTTGGAATCAGTTGATAATTCAAAATGAGAAAATTAGTAGATTGTGTTAGCTTTATCCGTTATTTTCTTTGTTTGTTTAGTAAGGCCACTAGTTTTCGCCTTAAAGAAAATCTTAGCTACCAGACAACAGCCACTGGCTGGCCCTGACCCAAAGCCAGCAAATCTTTGACTAGAAGAAACCTGTGCAGTGGAAATGAAAATTTGTTCAGAAAACTCTGGGTGCAGAGGACGGGAAGACAATGAAAACTAAAGATACAAGTCACATAGAAGGCAGTGTGCAGTGTCCTTCATGGAAAGAAATGATCTTTAAGCAGCTACCAGGTTAAATGTAGGAGGCTGCCTTCATCTGCCTGAGGTCATGACTGCCCTGGGGGAAATCAAAACCTTGTCACATATGTAACCCAGATATACAGGGCAGCTCAAGCTCTGTGCTCATCAGTTGGAAAACTCAATCATAGAGACAACATTCATAAATTCAGCTTTTATTTCAAAAGTAGGATTTGAACCCATGCCTCCAGAGGAGATTAGACACAGCTCTTTAGATTGTTTAGTCATCCTGACAGCAGAAAACTTGGCTTCTGAACAGACAAAACCATATCCAGATTACTAGAGCTGCCTTGAATTCTAAACTGACTAAGCCTAGGTATTAACATATATATTCTTGTCAA